GGAATAACAACTTTTGGTAATTGCTCATGCCCCTATGTTTGCTTGTTTGCGGAAGTGGTTCCTGCATGAGTGCTTACATGATTTTTAAGGTATCGAAGAGGATTACTACGGACAAACATGGATTTCGTACTTCTGCAGGGCTCTTCCATTAAACCCGACGAATGGAAAGTGTCATAAAGCCCCGTACATCCTGTATAACCTCAGTTGACCCGACATAATCAAGCCTTCACACATATGGTGTTATCTCTCCCTGCTGGCCCTGCGTTATTAGCTGCACAACTGCCCTGGGGTGATGGTGTCGGATCTACTTGTCTCGATGGATTACCCCTCGAAAAAACATTTCCAAAAAATGAACCCCCGGACCAACCCAGAAACCCTAAATCCCCCAACCCGAAAACCCTACTAACGCCCCAAACTTTGATCCCCTCCCAAGAAAAGACATGCAGAAAACACTCCGAAACCCTGAAGAAACCTTACAAAGCCCTCATAGCGCCCTTACAAAAATTTATATTCATACTTATTCATGCGTAGCTCTTCTTTACATAACCCCTTCAAGTAAAGCAACCCTACGAGGCCTCTCGGAGCGGGCCGCGAACGAACGCCTGCACGGAGCCAGAATTCGGCTAGGCTTTAGACGGCTTTACAAGGTCTACTTTCTCCTACTCCTGCACCTACTCCTACTCCTACTCCTGCTCCTACGCCTCGGCGGAAAGGGCGCAACGCCCGACGCCTGACCATATGTGCAGTTACTGTGTATACTCACATCTAGCTGTTGGCTTACTATTTTTGCTTCTACTTACATACAGAGGTACAAATAAATAGGTAAATAACAAACCCATACACATGTTTTATTTCGGTCTCAACCCCAATCCCTCAATCCTAAACCCCTGAACCGTAAACGCCATAAACCCTAAACCCCTAAACCCTGTACCCCTAAACCCTAAGCCCGAAACCTCAAGCCGCTGGGATGGCCTCAAAGGCTTCTTCGCTGCCGTACCAGAGCCGGATGGCCCCGTAGATGAAGCTGCCTGGGAAAAGCTAAATAATTAAGGTCATAGTGTTTCCCAAGTCTAGAAACCTTCAAAACGGAGCTGGCGGACCGAGGGTGGCCACTGAAAAAGGCCTGCCCCGAGGTCCTGGACCGGAAAGTTCACACGGCTGAAGTGAATAGCCGCTTCAACAGCCTATATAACTATAACCCTAAGCCCAGCGTTTTTTGTTCCGGCACGCCCGAAATCCTCTTCTCGGGCTTTAAAATTAAGATCCGGAGCTTCTAGAAGAACCCCATGCCTCAAATTCGGGACCAAAATCTAAAATGAGGATCCGGAGTTTTCAAGCTTAATTTAAAAGGACCGGAACCGCAAATTGAAGAGGAGGGCCAGTTCAATTATCCTGGGGACAAAAAAGGAGCACCTGCTCGAGGGCCGATTCGCAACAAGGAAGGAGGACCTGCCGGAGGGCCAGTTCGTTTATGGCTTATGCTGGGGACAAAGAAGGAGGAATTGTCGGAGGGCCAGATCGCTTCTCCTGGGCAGAGAGGAGGACCTGCCCGAAGGCCGGTGCGCTAATTTGGGGGAAGCAGGACCTGCCAACAAAGGAGGACTTGCCGAAGGGCCAGTTCGTTTGTCCTGGGGACAAAGAAGATGCGGAAGGACCAGCTTATGGGGACAAAGAAGGAGGACCTACGCAGGGACAAAGAAGGAGAACGTGCTGGAGGGCCAGTTCGCCTGTCTTGGGCACAAAGAAGGACGACCTGCCGCCCCGGAGGGCCAGATCCCTTATCCTGGAGACAAATGAAGCCGGAGAGCTGGTTCGCTTAATCCTGGACACAAAGAAGAACTTCCCGTGACGGAGGGCGTTTGCTTATCCTGGACACAAAGAACGACTTGCCTGAGGGTTCACTTCTTCTGAAAACTGTCACAAAGGCCCAAGCAGCCAGTTCTCTTTGTTGGGGACAAAGAAGGAGGACCTGCCGGAGGGTCAGGTCGCTTTTGCTGGGAACAAAGAAAGGGGACCGGGGGACCGTTCGCTTATCCTGAAAACAAAGAACGAGGACATGCCAAAGGGCCAGTTCGCTTGCGGGAGAGCGTTCGCTCATCCTGGCGACAAAGAAGGAGGACCTGCCGGAGGGCCTGTTGGCTTGTGGGGACAAAGAAGGAAAACCTGCCAAAAAAGCGTTCGCTCATCTCGGGACACAAAGGAGGAGGACCGGAGCATCCTGGGATTAAACAATGGCAACAAAGAAGGAGGACTTGCTGGAGGGCAATTTCGCTTAATTAATCCAGGAAACAGAAATTTGCTACGAGAGGGCCGGTTGGCTTATGTTGGGGACAAAGAAGGAGGACGTGACGGACCGGAGGACCAGTTCGCCGGTTCGCCTATCCTGGGGACAAAAATGGGGACAAAGAAGGAGGGCCCGCTGGAGGGCTGATCCTGGAAATATCTATGTAAGGAGTTCGCTTGCCGGAGGTTCGCGTATCGCTGTTACAAGCCCCCTTTGATACAGGGTCGAGGGGGTCAACCCTAAACCCGTTCAAGGCTTGTAATTTGAGTGGGCAGTGCAGCTCATGCACCGACCCCAATTTCATGGAGGGGTCGAAAGCGAAAGCGCACTCCTAAGCCCCAAACCCTAAACCCCCTAAACCCCAAACCCTGAAGGGGCCCAGTCTTGAGGCTCAGGGGTTTGGGAGGGTGCTTTTCCGACCCGAAGGAAACCTCTCAAAAGTCTTTCGGCTTAGGCTTTAAGGCACCGGAGAAATTTACTTATAGTATGGTATAGCACAGCATAGAAGACTGTAGCATAGTATAATATGCATAGTATAGTATTTCCTCGGCACTCTTCGGGGGGTGCTAGGGAGGCTTCGGTGTAGATTAGCGCACGGAGGGCTAGCGAAATGAGTACTTTGAGGGCGTCGATTGAGCGGCTTGGCGGCTTTAGGGTTCCGGGTGTGGGGCTTAGGGTGCTGGTCGGAAGAAGCGTCCTCAGAACTCGATCTCGCCAAATAGGAACCCTTGTAAGGGATACCCCAAACCCGAAACCGTGAAACCGTAAAACCCTTGAAGCCACAACCCTCCATCTCACCGTTGGAGGCCCTGCAAAGCGCCGAGTCGCGATCGAAGTCACTGGCGCCTGCTCAGTATGGGCTTAGGGTGCTCTTCATGATCACTGGGTTGATGGTTTGGGATTAGGCCTTCATCATGAAGCCTGTCTGTTTCATTCCTGTCTCCCGGGTCGCGCAATGCCAAGTCTCAACCCAAACCAAGACCTAAACCCTAAAATCCCAGACCCTGAAACCTTAAACCCTTAAACCCTCATCCACAAAACCCTAAACCCTCATCCCCAAACCTAAAACCCGCCCCCCCCTCAAAAAAAAAGGGCCCACCTTCTCAGAACCCCCGAGCCGAGCTGCAATCCACTCTGTCAAGGACGAAGTGCTCCAAGTCCCCAACCAGCTTCAGCTTCATTGCAAAGTAGTTACCTCGGTCTAGTGCTTTGGGTTGAAGCATTCTTGAATTTACTAAGGTTTTTTTTTTTTTTGAGCGCCTTTTTCCATCTGCCTATGAGGTGTCCGGAATCTGCATTGCAGAAGGCAACTGACCCTTAACCCTCAGAAGATCTCGCGGTACCTTGGCCTTCACCATCACTTTGAGGCAACGTCGGTTTCACAGCATCGTTTGGACCTTCCTCACCCTCAGCACCGACATTCTCCACACCTGAGGCCTCACCATGTCCATCCACTGCATCACACATGTCGAGCAGTTCTTGCACATCCCATACGACCATGTTGGACAGCTCATGGCGGCATCTTTCGACTCCCTCATCCCTCATACGGCGAAACATACGAAGCCAGGTAGCGCCGTAGAGCTCATCCACCGTCTCGTCACGCAAGAGCCCGCGGAGCCAGCGTTCATGGACCTGCTTCACCACACTGTAGGAGATGCGCGACGAGAAAGCCATTCCCTCAGTAGAAGGCCGTTCATCCCGAGGCAAGGCCACAGAGTCACCCTCTTGCTCCTCAGCCGTTTGCAGGATTTGACCCAGCTGCCCACGGATAGAGTCAAGCCCTCCCACACGCCATGCCCTGAAAAGGCACAACCACTGTTCTCCGAAGGCGGCTTGTATGTTGCCGTCTGTCCTGAGTCCCATCTTCCACTGGCCATACATCGATTCGAAGAAAGGGAAGTCAGGCCTGGGCATGCCTGCTTGCATCATCGGTGACGGCTCTCGGGCATCGAGTGGAGGCGGACCTGTCTCCCGCAGCCGTTCCAGCGATTGGTCTTCCGCCTGGGCAACCACATGTTGGGCCTGCACCATCTCTGCTACCTCCCTGCCATACTGGCATGCAATCTCCTCGACTGTGAGCACACCATCCTTCCATTTTGCATAGATGGCCTCGTAGTCCTTGAACTCCATCTCCCCAAAGGCACCGGTCACGCCCACCGTATCGTTGTTGACAACCTTCTGCTCAGGCCCAACCGGAGGCCCAGGGTCGCTCACCACCTGTACTGTGCTGACGTTCTCCGGGTCTGCCTCCATACGGGCACGGATGGTGAGGCAGACAGGTTCACCTGTCAGGGGAACGTCCAGAGCCAGCGTGTGGACTACCCGCGGATGGTCTCCCGAGCCAGAGGCCGCTTCCACAGCGAGGACGCACCTCCTCTTGTGGGGCGGCCTGGTGGCCAAGACCTCTTGGCGAACTTGGTCTTGTTCCCATTCACGATAGGCGCGAGCGTCTGCTTGCAATTCAGCCATTTCCCTTTCCTGCAGTTCCTCGTGCGCCGCCAACCTGCGGCGCTCGTCATCCTCCTCACGCCTCCGTTGGTCTTGCCAGTGTTCTTCGCTCAACTCATCCTCCAGCAACTTGTCCAGGTCGTAGTCCGTCATGGGCACGTTTCCCTCACCAGCAGCGGTGCTTTGAGAGTCGAGAGGAACCGGGCTGGGTTCCGACAAGAACCCAGGTATGAAAGCAGACAGCTCATTCACCCAACTTTGGGGCCAGTCAAGGTCGGCCCCTTCCACCGTAGTCGCCCTTCCACCTGCCTCCGCTCCCAGAGCTACGAAGTGCCTGAAGCTGTGCCACCCATGGGCCAGACTCTGCATTGATCAGCGGCGGAATTCCTTCCTGTAGCATCCGGACATGTACCCGCTGAAGTGCAACATCCTGTCCCAAGAGCTCCTTATGCAGGCGCGTAATTGCCCTCGTCCACCTTTGTTCCATGGTCCCTTTGCCGTCTGTTAAGAGGTATGCCTGCATGAGGAGGTGGTCTTCGTCCTCCTCGTCCAAGTGCACCTCGACCGTGTCCGTATCCGCCTCTCGGGTGCGGGCAATGGCGTCAGCCACATCCAAGGTCTGACTGAGTTCCGCCATCATGTATCTCAGGATGGTGACCAAGGCACACGTCGAGACAAGGCGGTTCTGTACTGACATGGCCTCATGTTGCGCGCTGATCTCCCTGAGCATCCTGGGCGGCAGGAAGCTGCTGGGTACCCTGGAGTTCCCCTCCAGTCTGGGTCCGAAGTGTTCACGGTCGAACAGGTAGTAGCGCCACAGGTTGACAGCCTGGTCAGAAGACATAGGTTGTGTGACATCAGGGAACCCTGCAATGGTAGGTCTTGGAATGAGTGTCAAGGAGGACGGTGCCGGGTCCCGTGACCCAGATGCAGGCTCGTGGCATCGCCCTTCACCCCCAGCCCTGGCATGAGGAGAGGCCGTACTGGCCCCTCTCCTGGCTGCCCGCTCTCTGATGCGGTTCAGCCTCGCTTCCTTTCCCGAGTAAGCAGCATCATCCTGCCTCGGTCGACGTCCTCCACTGCCTGCGCCTGTTTGTCCCGATCTCCGTGGGGTTCTTGAGTCCCGAACCCTGCGTCGCCCATGGCTGTACCTGTCCCTCTCCATCCTGCTGACAGCGTCCTCCGAGACATTGGCCCCTGCGTGTTGTTCCTCCTCTTCAGCATCCCTGGAGGCCATGTAGTACCCATAAAGATGAGTCTCGATTTCCTGTGCCCATGAGAAGAAGTTTGCCGGGGTGGTAGATTCGTCCAAGCCCGCAGAGTTAGGGAACCCTGCCCCCAGTGTAGCGATCGGACCCATCACCCAACTCTCGTAGTCAGGTTCCCGTCGTGCAACAGCTTGGGATCTTACCATGCATATAGCCATGCCGATGGCCCGATCCTCCTCAAACCACCTCCACATCTGTTCCACCAGCCGTTCCCATCGTGATTGTCCGCCCGGAGGGAGCTGGAAGAGACCCACAACATCCCCCGTCTGATCCGGCAACCCTCGAGGTCGTGCTTCTGCTCGCCACGTTTCACGGCCACGACGGTGCGGAGTGCGTGACCGAGATTGCCGGTCACGTTCTTGACATTCGCGATGCAATTTCTCCGCCGAGGTGGTGACAGCATGGAATCCATGTGCTGCCAGGGTTGCTTCAAACTCCATGTTGGCCATTGCCACCGGGCAGTGGTCATGAAGCCATCGGCGCCGTATTTGTTGCAGAGACCAGTCAGACATCTCCTCAATCTCGTTGAGAGTGGGGGTACCCATCCTGGCAATGATCGCATCACCACGAACCCTTTGGTATCCCCGAAGTCTTCGTTCCATTTCGCCCCTGATTTCACCGACCTCCTCAACAAACCTTCTATCATAGTGCCTCGAGAAGGCGGTGTCCATCACCAGGAGGTACTCCGAAACTTCCATTCCCCTGTCCACCATGAGCAAGATTTAGGGTGCAGGTGTAGGGTTGGGGGCTTAGGCGGTTGGGGTTTCGGGATTTCAGACTTCAGGTGTAGGGTTTAAGGAATGGCTACCTCAGGGCAGGACGTTTCCAGGCACTTAGGGTCTGGGAGGTTTTCAATCTAACACCAAGCCTAAGGGTTAAGGATAATGCCGCAGCCCAAAACCGTCAACAGAAAAATTGCACCCCAAAAAAATCAAGAGACCGCACCCCCAAACCCCTTGCCAGATCCCTTTCAAGCAGCGCAGGTAGTGCAGAGCAAGAAGTATCGGGACAGTTCCAGCCAGCAGGCTCCTCGGCAGTCAGGGCTCAGGGCGTGGGCTTACCTCGACCTTGAGGAACCTACCTTTTAGGGCCCCCTAATATGATTTCTTGACATAAGTCCCTAAAAAGGCAGGTTATTTGAGGTTAAGGTAGGGCTCAGGGCATGAAGGTTATACCAGGGTCTTTACCGGATTTACAGGGGCGTCGAGGGTATATTCGGGCATCGCACCTAGAAAGGAAGGTGGGACACCAGACATAGCTTCGCTTCTGCTGCCTCGCCATGCAATGGCGTAGACCTAGACAAAATTCTAAACTCTAACCTGAAGAGCCCCTGAAATCCCAAACACAAAAAAACTTCAGTCTGTTTAAAACCGTATAACTCTTCATCAAGCTCTCCTTACTGTCCTTATACATTGACCATGTATGAACTACCCATTGTAAAATCCATCCGAGAATCTTAGGCAACACTTAGTACGACACTTTTCAACCCTTAACTATTACACATTTGAAGACCCTTCTAGAGCCTGTTAACGCCGCTGGAGACCCCCAAAAACTGAATACTGTTGACATCATACTTATAATCCACCCAGAATTACAAAACCACACCCCCGGAACTCAATTATAAACCCGCCGGGAACCCCCAAAAAATGGAGCTACTTCTTGTGCCTCTAGAGGCCAAGAAAAGGACCGCAAGCTTTAGAAACCAAGCTCCGACTCACACACCCCTCAATAGTCAATCAGCCCCACCCGGGGTCAGCAAACAATCAAGCGGGGGGGGGGGTTATGAATAGGAAGTCAACATTAACAACTTTTAAAACCACCCTCCTAACTGTTTTCTTGAGATTGGAGACTCCTACCCTAAACCCTAAACCCTAAACCCTAAACCTAAACCTAAACCCAGAACCCCCAAACAGGCCCGGGCGCAGAATGAGAAAGCCCAAGCCGGACACGCTGTGAACTCGGATCGTCAAGAAAACAAAGCTGACACCTGGGCAAACAGGATGCAGGTCTGGAGGTTTATGGTGTTAGTGAGGTTTAGGGTTTAGGGTTGAGGGTTTAGGGGTTAGGGTTTCGGGTTCAGGGATTAGGGGTTAGTGTTGTTCATAGCTGTATGGTGTTTTGGGGGTGTTTTGCGCTCGTCAGATGCAGGGCTTCCAGGAGGGCTTCTAGAATGCTATGCATGCAATGGTCAGGTTCCGGCTTCGGCGTAGCGTCAGCACTACGATACCGTCTGCATCGTGCCCATCATGATCAACAGCAACAGCATCAGCACGAGCAAGTAGAGGAAGCCAACCACCACGACCATCGCCGCCGCCACCACCACCAGCACCAGACCAGCACCAGCACCAGCACCAGCACCAGCACCCGCACCACCACCACCACCACCACCACAACCACCACCACAATCCTCGACGAGCGAGAGAGCGAGAGAGAGCGAGCGAGCGAGCGAGTGCGAGAGAGAGAGAGAGAGAGAGAGAGACAGACAGAGACATTTCAGCTCGGAATTTCGAAGTTCAGTGAGTCCTAAACTATCTTGGCGAGCGCGAGGCCGTTCAAACCAAACTACGGTCCCCCAAAAACGTACCGTCACTCAAATACCCTAAGTTGGTACCCTGCCTGCTCCTGGACAATCATAGAGCGGCCTTAATAATTAGAATAGGGTTTTGGGGCCGATAATTCTATATCTATAATATGGAACACTCAAAATAATATAGGCAATTATTAAAGCCCCTAAATTACCCTGCATTTCCGGGACTTTTCATGGTTAAGGTGCTCGAGGTATTAAACGATTTCTATTCATCAACAGAACTTCGAGAGCGACCCTGCTGGTGCTTGCTAGAAGTAGGTAGCCTGTCTTTAACCACGCTGCCTATCTTGAAGTCTCTAAACCATACTGCAAGAGAATGAAAAGGCTCAATGCAACCTGAGACGCCATAATTGGACAACACGCAGATCAGCACCTTAGCTGGCACCCAGTTTGGGGGGTCACTGTCGTTTAAGGATCTATGTTGAAGAATTGGTTGGGCTTGGGTTTAGGGTTTTGAGGTTTAGAAATCGGGGATAAAGGGGGCTTTGCTGTCCGGAAAACACCCAATATTCTAGCAAAGAGCATGCTGTCAGCAACAATACAACCAAGAGAGTAGTCACTACACATAAAGGCCCATGTCACATATACATGCCTTGTTTTGTTTTCTGTATCTCTCTCAATGTCTCTCCCGCTCTCTCTGTCTATCTCGCTCGCTAGCTAGCGAGCTAACCAGCCAGCTGGCTGGCTTGCTGGCTAGCTCGCTGGCTATCTATCCAAATACCCATCTGTCCATCTACCCATCTATCCGTCTATCAATCAGTCCATTTATCCATCTTGCCATCGATCTATCTACCCATCTATCCATCCGTCCATCCATCTATCTGTCTACCCCTGTATCTATACTTGTATTTGTAGGCCTACGTGTGTACATGTACATATGTACACACACGTGCGGTCTGCAAACCTGAACCTGGATTTAGACATATGTTTGTGCATGTATGTGCCTGTGTATGCACCCATAGGTGTACATGTATATGCACGCGCATGTGCTTGGTAGATGCACAGGTACCGGCACATGCATATGTATATGTATATGAATGTGTATGCGCATGTGTATATGTACATGTTTGTTAGTTGTGTGCCCGCCGAGAAACCATACGTCTAGAGTCTACAGTCTGAACCCCATTACCAGCGAGACTGATATAGTACCCTGAGCCCTAAGCCTTGTGCCGGAGGCGCTGTGAATTCGATGAAGACTGGTGTGACGCTCACTTGGCCATTCGGATTGGCCTATGCCAAGACAGGGTGCCAGAGCAAGGCTACGAAGATTCAGCCTTATCTTCTTTCCGGGCTTGGACTCTTGTGGTTCAGGGCTTCGGGCATAAGGGCTTAAGGCTTACGGTTGAGAAAATTCCTTCAAGTATAATTGTAGGGATCCTTGCTAAGCCAAGCAACCCTAATCTTCAAACCCTGAGCCCTGAACCTCTGAAATGAACTGAAAATGTGTGTTTTGTGAGTTTAACGGTTGCGTAGGGTAGTGTAACAGGTTCTGTGCCGTTTTGAGGGCTGTGTGGCTTTTCAGGCCAAGCCTTTAGGGCTCAGGGAAGGCAATGCCGCCAAAAGGAGGTTCAAGCCCAAAAACCGAAAACCCCCGAACCTCTAATATCCTGTGTAAATGTGTATATTACACTACATACATACATACATACATACATACATACATGCATGCATGCATACATACATGCATGCATGCATACATACATACATACATACATACATACATACATACTTGTATACTTGTACATACATACATACATACATATACTTGTATACTTGTACATACATACATACATACATACATGCAGACATGCATTGACATGCATACAAACAGGCATGCATACACGCATACCTGCATACCTGCATACCTGCAAACATGCATACATACATGCATACATACATACATGCATACATACATACGCGCATATAATATATGTGTATATGTACATACATGGTATACAAGAGCACAAGACCAAACGAAAAAGCACCGCCTTGCGGTACGCTGCCAGCTCGAAAACGCACCAAAGCCCTCGGCACGGAATGGATGGAGGCGTTTGAGGCCCAACGGTGTCAAGGTTTTCGGGCTTCTGTTTTAGAGTTTAGGGGTTCAGGGGTTCAGGGCTGTGAAGACGTAGGAGTTGGGGTTCGGGGAGTGTAAGGATTCGGTGGTTTAGGGATCAAGCCCGAAAATCAAAATATTCTACAACCCAAACCTGAAGTTCTAAACTTTAAACCCGCTCAAGCCTAAACTCCTAACCCTACATCCAAAATGCATCTCAAGGCGCTTGACAGGTACGGCGGACTCCACCTCAGGATACATCTAACAGGGGTATGGGATGTTGTAAGGGTGTTACACGGCTTGGTAAGGCTTTACATGGCTTCATGGAGCTTGTAGAGGGCTGATGAGTGCTTTCGGATGTAGGGGGTTTAGGGTTGAAGGGTTTAGGGCTGAGGGCCTTGGTTCCGCGGCAGGTTTCGGGTAGGGCAAGGGTTTCATGGGGTAGGTTTCCCTCGTATAGTTGTAGGGTTTTATTTGGGTGGTAACACTGCTCCTTCGGCTTCCCGAATGAAGATGTGCTTAGATGTGTGGCTTAGGGTCTTTTTGGTTTAGGAAGGTTCCCGAAGATCCCATTTTATCACGGGGTTGCTCTTTATGGGTGAGGGAGAACCAAATTCAAGAATATCTCTACTACCTAAGCACATATATATATATATGTACAATTACACACACTTATGGTCAGGCGTCTGGCGTTCCCAGCCCCCCAATGGCATGGTTTGGTAGGGTAAGAGGCGGGGGTTGGCGTGTGCCGATAGGGATCGGAGCTGTTGCTGCTAGATGGTGGGGCTGGTGCTGGGGCGGCCAGGGGTCACACGCAAGCTACGCAAGCCATGAATCCCATAAGATAGCGCATGCTCCTGTTTTTATTAACCTCAACCTGTACTCTGAACCCTACACCCAACCCTGAACGCTCGAACCGGGTGTTGTGCCGCAGGCACGGCCGTAGGAGCTCCCCGCAAATGCTGCTTTTACTGGCAGGCGCGGCACTTTCGCAGTGTTGCAAAAAGAGAAACGTCCTGAAGTCCGGGTGGCTACTTTTTCAAAAATAGCCACCTCGGCTTTAAGCCCTTTCCAGGGCTTCAAAGAGCCTTGAAGTCGATTTGCTTGGCCAGCATGGGACTTCGTGCATGTCGGAGGATTTTGGTGATTTGTTCGTGGGAGGCTGATTTTGGCAGAATTTGTGCTCTATGAATTGGTGTGTTTTTTTGGATGCTCTGCGGGCATGGATGGGGTCTGATCTGGACGTTATCATGGTTGGGACATGGATGCTCTGCGGGCATGGATGGGGTCTGATCTGGACGTTATCATGGTTGGGACATGGATGCTCTGCGGGCATGGATGGGGTCTGATCTGGACGTTATCATGGTTGGGACATGGATGCTCTGTGGGCATGGATGGGGTCTGATCTGGACGTTATCATGGTTGGGACATGAATGCGCTGCGGGCATGGATGGGGTCTGATCTGGACGTTATCATGGTTGGGACATGGATGCTCTGCGGGCATGGATGGGGTCTGATCTGGACGTCATCATGGTTGGGACATGGATGCTGGGCACCCGGATGGGGTCCGAGTGCGGCGTAACGTCTGGTTCGAGGGCTAAACCCCGCCTGAATGCAAGCTCTAAGCCGAAAGCAGAACATGAACCGTCAACCCTAACGAACCTAGCCTTTGTCGATCGAAGCCGGTAAATCCAAAACTCAAGAGCTTAAGCTAAACCCCAGACCCCAAAACCCCACAACCACCCCACACCCCACACCACAGGGGAGGGGGGGCCCACCTACACCCAGACCATTGACCTTTGGGGGGGAGCGGGGGCCGCACAGTGCGTGACCATTTTTTTTTGCGTGTGTGTGTGTGTGAAACCCAAACTTCCACGGGCTCAGGTCGTTTTGTTTGTTTAAGCTGCAGGGGGCCAGGCAAGGTGAGTGCGTGCGCTGGCTAACGAAGACCGCGCACTCATCTACCTGTCATCCCTTGTAAACGTGCCTGCAAAATCGTTGAAAACGCCTCGATGAGTTCGTGAGTGGTGATTCCGAGTACCAGTACAAGCACAGAGTCAGGTGAAGGTTCCAGGTGACCCTTGGCTTCGTGTTTTAGTAAGCATCAACAAGGAAATCATGAGCCTATTGAAGACCTCCGGCAACATTTTCATCTTGAACTGTCTCAGCTGAGTCTTGAACTCTTTGCTGAGTGGAGTTGACCACTGAAGAACAGTTTACCAGGGAAGCCTGGGTGTTCAAGTGTGAATCGGGCATGGCCTTCCGTCACGGCGCCATTACCGCTGCTCTCGAGGCAGTATCCCTTGAAACAGTGCCCCGAGTGGGACGGGTGATCCTTGGCTAGGTCTGCAACAGGCTCAAAAACATCAACAGATCGGAAAGTCTACGAGGGGGATGGAAAGTTTCGCCTGACCGTGACGGCTGAGCAGCTCCGCTTGAAATCGATCTTGAAATCTATATTGAAATCTCTGCTGAAGTCAACCTTGAATTGGTTCTGAGATCCTAGAGTGTAGAGGCACGCGTCTAATGCACTAGAGTAACACGTCTAATACACTGGAGCCTGGTCTTTCATCATGCTTTCTTTGTTCTTTTCTCTTTTCTTGTTCCGCACCCCAATCCCTCACCCTAATCCGGCTTCTTGGTCTGCTTCAACAGCTTTTCTTTTTCTTTTTCGTGTCTCGTAAGTTGTACCGTTCCTCCGAAGGAGGTAACTGTGTGTGAGAAACCCAAACTTCCACGGGCTCAGGTCGTTTTGTTTGTTTAAGCTGCAGGGGGCCAGCGGAGGGGCAGGCAAGGTGAGTGCGTGCGCTGGCCAACGAAGACCGCGAACTCATCTACCTGTCATCTCGTGTAAACGTACCTGCAAAATCGTTGAAAGCGCCTCGATGAGTTCGTGAGTGGTGATTCCGAGTACGAGTACAAGCACAGAGGTGAAGGTTCCAGCTGACCCTTGGCTTCGTGTTTCAGTAAGCATCAACAAGGAAATCATGAGCCTATTGAAGACCTCCGGCAACATTTTCATCTTGAACTGTCTCAGCTGAGTCTTGAACTCTTTGCTGAGTGGGTTTGACCACTGAAGAACAGTTTACCAGGGAAGCCTGGGTGTTCAAGCGTGTGTCTGTTTGTCTGTGTGTCTATGTGTCTGTGTGTCTGTGTGTCTGTGTGTCTGTGTGTCTGTGTGTTTGTGTGTCTGTGGGTCTGCGGGTCTGGGTGTCTGTGTGTCTGTGTGTCTGTGTGTCTGTGTGTCTGCGTGTCTGCGTGTCTGTGTGTCTGTGTGTCTGTGTGTCTGCGTGTCTGTGTGTCTGTGTGTCTGTGGGTCTGCGGGTCTGCGTGTCTGTGTGTCTGTGTGTCTGCGTGTCTGCGTGTCTGCGTGTCTGTGTGTCTTTGTGTCTTTGTGTCTGTGAGTCTGTGAGTCTGTGTGTCTGTGTGTCTGTGTGTCTGTGTGTCTGTGTGTCTGTGTGTCTGTGTGTCTGTGTGTCTGTGTGTCTGTGTGTCTGTGTGTCTGTGTGTCTGTGTGTCTGTGTGTCTGTGTGTCTGTGTGTCTGTGTGTCTGTGTGTCTGTGTGTCTGTGTGTCTGTGTGTCTGTGTGTCTGTGTGTCTGTGTGTCTGTGTGTCTGTGTGTCTGTGTGTCTGTGTGTCTGTGTGTCTGTGTGTCTGTGTCTGTGTGTCTGTGTGTCTGTGTGTCTGTGTGTCTGTGTGTCTGTGTGTCTGTGTGTCTGTGTGTCTGTGTGTCTGTGTGTCTGTGTGTATGTGTGTCTGTGTGTCTGTGTGTCTGTGTGTCTGTGTGTCTGTGTGTCTGTGTGTCTGTGTGTCTGTGTGTCTGTGTGTCTGTGTGTCTGTGTGTCTGTGTGTCTGTGTGTCTGTGTGTCTGTGTGTCTGTGTGTCTGTGTGTGTGTGTCTGTGTGTCTGTGTGTCTGTGTGTCTGTGTGTCTGTGTGTCTGTGTGTCTGTGTGTCTGTGTGTCTGTGTGTCTGTGTGTCTGTGTGTCTGTGTGCGCGTGCGTGCGAGCGTGTGTACACGTCTGTCTCCGTGCATAAATATATGCATACAGATATTCTACGCACACATACGTATACATATACACCTCCATACATGATACGATTCCTGTTTTTCTTCACATGGGCTTCGGGCTCTAGGATCGAGGAAGCCTCGCCTGCCATCAAGGCGTCTTCCTTGTCAAACCATCGCGCACGGGTGCGGAGCCCTTAAACCCTAAGCTTAGGGTTTAGGGTTTCGGTAAAACTCCAAACCCTGTCTGGGCAACGGGGCTTTTGGGTGAAAGAAATTGACATTGCGGCCATGCTGCAGGACACGGAGCTCTTTAGAGACTCGCAAGAAATCAGCAATGGCGTAGATACCTTCCAGGGTTTCAGGTTTAGGGTTCAGGGTTTCGTTGCAGCGGCCGAAAGCCACAAGGCCCGTGAGGGTACTTCAATGGATATATCAGGATTCTGTGATACAGAGGCCCTCGTAAGTAGATACAGTAGGAACTTGCGTTGGTTTATAAACAAGCCGGGAGCCATCAGAAGCAATAAAATGTCGATCCAAAGCATCCGAAGCATCCAAGGCAGAAGATGAACCCAAATATAATGGCCTTAATAATTAGAACAGGGTTTTGGGGCAGATTATACCATCAGGCCCCTACATTAACCGATCATTTCGGGTTTAGGGTTCAGGGGCCTAAAAACCCTCCCTGAAATCTTGAAATCTTCTGCAACAACTGGACTAAGCTTGAAAGCCCAGACCGGCGACTTTTGCGCAACCCTGAAACGTGGCCGCCAAGTTTAGGGTTTGGGAGTTCAGAGCCCCGAAAGCCCCAGGGCTTGGGATTCCTCACTCCAATCCCTATTCTGAATTCCCTAACATGGGGGCGTTATTGGCAAGAGTACGGTTTGGTCTAGCTCTACAAGGTACACAAGGAAATCAATCCCAAATATATCCTAAACACTATAAACCCTTGCAATAACCCCAGAAACCCTCACCAAAGTCGTCTTAAACCCCTGTGGGGCGATGCTTTTCCTTACTACAGACCTTTACAAGACACCTACTAAACCTTCATCTGCGGTCCTGCAGGGAGCCCAAGATTTACATTACTGATAGCAGCAATGACTATCCCTACGGTAAGACTTAATTAAACTCGCAGTAGCAGTGGCAGCAGCAGCAGCAGGAGCAGTAGAAGGTAGCAGCAGCAGCAGTAGCCGAAGAAGTGGAAGTAAAGCAATATCGCAAACACCGTAGGGAAGAGTCTGCAATGGCCTTGGTTCTTCTCGTCCACATCTGTCTGGTTGATGCAAGCAGCGTCCCAGAAGCCTTTTGGTTGCTGTTTTGTGGCGCCTTTCACGCGATGTTTAAGGAACTTTATGAGGAGCTTGTATAACCGCTGTTTTGATATCAAGGCCTGTGAAGAAAGGGGTGTAGTACAAAGTCCCAAGTACGCTAATTCCGTATACGACGCACATATACCCGGTTAGATTGAAAAACCTTTAAGGAAGGCTAAGATCATCCTATTCCGATTTCTTGTGCTAGTACTAGGACTATTTTCTGTTACAGCTGCGACTATCAGTATTATTTGTGATAGCAGCAGCTCTTAACATCAGCAATATTACTACTATTGCCACTACTATTGTTCTCATTAATCAAACCCTAAACCCTAAACCCATCCTGGCCCTTTCAAAACCGGGAGGCAGATGTCCGGCACGCCCATGCACTGGGGCACGTGAGGATAGGACCTTTGTATTTGGCGGTTTGGGGCTTGTGGGACAGAGTTTAGGATTTAGACGCCTTAGGGCCCAGACCACAAAGGCACACCCTATCGAGTACGCCAGAGCGCAAAACCGCATTATGTCTTTAACAGAAGGTTGAAGTTGAGGGCTGTCGGTTTTAGGGTGTAGGCGTGCAGGGCTTGTCGGGTGACACTCGCTGAGAACCACTCAAAAAAGTCAGAGTGGCAGAAGGCCAACAACGAATGCGAAGAAGCTGGTCAGGACCAGCCAAGGAGCAACCTTGGCTGCCATGCGCGAGGCTTGCCTTTCAGTTTTTGCATACTGTACTGTATCATAACAAGCTTTGGAATACGGTCATAAGTATCGTGTTGCATTATTTCAGATGGTGTTTCTGTGTTATTCAAAGTATATACAAGTTGTACTGTATTTTTGTTGTAGTTTATCGTACAATACTTTATGCCATGTTATGTTGGTTGTATTTTGTTAAATTTATACTGTGTGAAACTGCATTCGGCTTTGTTCTGCTACGGCATGTTCTATTGTTTCATACGGTGTTATATTGTCTTCTAACACATTATCGTGTGTTATAGTGTGCTATGTTATGTTATATATGTTGTAACGTGTGATACTATGCTCCTTCTGTTGAACTACATTACATTTCATTTTATAACAAAACAGTACAATATAGTGTGCTTTGTCATGAAAACTCTGTTTAACTGATTATGGTGTGGCATGTTCTGTTGCATTATGTTATACTGTATTGTACGGTACTATATCCGACTACGTGTTAAGTTCCAATATATTATGTTGTATCATATTACTGCTTGCATTATCTTGTCTCTTATTATATCATCTTGATGTGTCGTTAATGCCCACTATGGCACCTTAAAATTGTATCGGGGTTTTGTGGGTCGTCTGACTGGCATACAGCTTGTGTTTTCACCTATGCTCGTCTGGACTTCTTCTACCTTTACTTCTTTTTGAGATGCGAAACCCCCCTCGAAACCCAAACCAGATTCTTCTTCGCTTCCGCGTTGCAGGTCTGCCGATGGTTTCTCACCAATGCGAAGAAACACAACAGCCCCTGTCAAAGAAAAGCCACCAAAACAGCTCGCTTATGAAACCCTAGGCCCTAGACCCTAAATCTTAACCCATAAAGCCTAAACTCGACTTCCTGCGCTTCCAAGGCACCGGAAGATTGTACCTGGGCTGATCTTGCAGGCCCGCTGATCAAGATCGTCTTTTACTTTGATTAGTATAGCTCTTACTATTCTTAGCTTGCTTTTGACCAATGAATCGTTTATTGTACTTGTCCTATTCCTTGCGGAGAATCTACTCTCCTGCAGCAAAACGAAGTAACAAAAAGGTATACTAAACCCTAAACCGCTAAACCCTAAACTCTAAACCCCTAAACCCTAAACCCTAAACCCCTAAACCCTAAAACCCCAAAACCCTAAACCCCTAAACCCTAAGCTCCTAAACCCCAAGCCAAAATCCGTGCTTTCACAGAACTGCCCAGGCACTGCACCCCGTCGACCGTTATATCCAGAATCCAGGGCCTGGGGAGGCGCTAGTAGGATACCCTTTAAGGGATTTTTAGGGTTTAGGGTTTAGGGATCTATAGGGTTTAGGGTTTAGGGTTTAGGGATCTCTAGGGTTTAGGGTTTAGAGTTTAGGGATCTATAGGGTTTAGGGTTCCATTTAAGGGATCTATAGGGCTAGGATACCCAGTAACCTAAGAATAAAAAGGCCTCTCTTTTTGGTATTGGGTAACTTTATAAGGAACCTAGGACTACAAAAAGGGAATAAGGGTACTACTGGGCATCCTAGAAGCATTGACTTCGGGTTCTGGGTTTTAGGGTTTTGGGGTTAGTGTTTGAGGGTTCGGGGGGTTCGGGGGGTTTTGGTGTTTTGGGGGCTTTGGTGGTTTTCGTGGTTTTGTGGTTTTGGAACGAGGGTTTGGGGGTTTCGGGGTTTTGGGGTTAGGGTTTATGTAAGAATTTTGGGGTTTTGTTGTTAGGGTTTGGGTGTTGTAGGGTTTTGGGGTTAGGGTTTAAGGGTTTTGGGGTTAGGTTTAAGGGGTTTGGGGGTTCGGGTTTGGGGGTTTTAGGGTTTTAGGGTTTTCGGGTTAGGGTTTACGGGTTTTGGGGTAGGGTTTGGTGGTTTTGGTGTGTTAGGGGGTTTTTGGGTTTAGGGGTTCGGGTTTTGGGGTTTTGGGGTTAGGGCTTAGGGTTTCGGGTTTAGGGCTTAGGGTTAAGGGTTTTTGTTCAAGGGCCTCTTTTCCATCCGCCAGCATGAAACTCCCATATGGGGAAGGCAAAAGGGTTTAGGGTGTTAGGATTCAGAATCAGCCTCGAACTTATGAGCTTCTATACTGAACTTAGAACCCTAGCAAAAATTAAATTTTTAGCTGTTTCTTAGGGATTATAATAACCAAAGATTAAAGATTGTTTCTAAGTACCCCTATTAAGAGCTTATGGAGGTTAGGAAGAGGAGGTTGGTGCTTCAGGATTTTGGGTCTTGGGGTCTGGGTGTTCAGGGATTTCGGCTCATGGATTAAAGTGCCCTGCGACAAAACTAACACAAGGTCAAAACAAAAAAGCTGAAAAAGGATAGCTGAATAGCAAAGCTCACTAAACCCTAAACCTTCAACCCAAAATCCTAAACCCTCAAGCGAGGGGCAGTGGCAGCACGCCCGCCATGCAAAGCGCGAAGGTTAGGCCAACGACGACGATTTCGCAGACAAGGGTCCTGAGATGCAGACAAGGGTAGAATTAGCGTTTAGGGTTCGGGTGCTTCCTGGGGGCGGAGAGCTCAACCCGAGATGCCCTTAACTCTGAAACTTGAGCCCTAAGCCCTAAACTAAACCCCAAGCCGAAATCGCATAAGACCCTGAACTTGAAAACGCTCTGAACCTTCTGAAATTCTTTGTGAAGGCCTGCAACCACGCGACTCACATCTCTCAACCCTGCGGCTTAGTTTCGGTCAATGGTATTGTAAGACGGTTCAGGGTTTAGGGTTTTCGGTTTATGGTTTTTAGGGGTAGTGGGGTGCTATTCGGGGTTATAAGTGTCCTCTTCAGGCCTCTGGTAACTATTCAAACATCTACATGATGATGGGGTTCCCTTTGAACTATAGACGTTTCCTCAGAAGGGCTATTTGGGACTTTCCGGTAGTTAAAGGTGGGGCTACGTAGTGCTCCTTTTTTGTCTACCATTCGGGTTTATGAGGCTTGTGCTTGAAACGTTTCGTAAGGCAAAACTACAGACCCTACTGTGGGGAGGATATGTTGCTCAGCTCGCGGAGCTTATTGGGAAAACCATGGACTAGGTGTCGATTTCAACAATCCCCATTGTTTTCATCATTAAGGCTCTATGATAGGCAACAAGTTAATCACGGAAATCCGCCGAAACCAAAAGCCTCTGGCGTTTTAGCACCTGTCTTCGACCCCCTTGCCCGGCCTCCGTCCTGCCACCCGTGATTTCCCACCTTCCCCCCTCCCCTCCCCCTAATTTGTTGCTGGCCCAACCCCTTCCCCTCCCCCCTTCCTGCCCCCCGTGCCCCCCCCACAAGCCGGCCCTACCCCGCCCTTTCAAGCGTTCTTCCTTCTCTTTCCTCCTTGTTCCACCGCGCTGCTTTCCCCCCTCCTTCCCCTTTCTCCCCCTCACTTCGTTCTTCTCTTCTCCATCTTTTGCCACTTTTCCATCTTCCCGCTGCTTTCCATCTCCCACGCTTCCTTCCTGTCCTTCGCTCGCGTGTTTTTTTCATTGCTTACTTCCCGGCCCACTTCTCTTGACTTTTTTTTTACCCTGTCTTTTCTCCTTTCAAGCGTTCCTTCTTCCTCTTCCACGTTCTTGCCTTTTTCTGCTTTTTCCACCTGTCCGCTGCTTTCCGGCCCCCAAGCTCCCTCCTTCTCTTTCCTCCCTTTCCTTCTGCCCCACTTCCTTCTTTTCTTTGTCCATCTTGAACCACTTTTCCATCTTCGCCTTTTCCATCTTCACGCTGATTTCGCTCGCGTGTTTTTTCCATTGCTGATGCAAATATCCACCGGCTTTTAGCGCCTGTTTTCGACCCCCTTGCCCGGGTTCCCCTCACTGCCCCCCTGCCCCCCCCCTACCCTGCCCCCCTCGTGCCTGCCCTTCTGCCCCACTTCTTTGTTCTCTTTCTCCATCTTTTGCCACTTTTCCATCTTCCCGCTGCTGCTTTCCATCTCCCATCCTTTTTTTCTATCCTTCGCTCGCGTGTTTTTTCCATTGCTCTTCTCCTTCGGTTCTTCTTTCCCCTTCCTGTTTCCCCTCTCCCAGCCTTCCGAGCCGTGTTCGAGTACAACAGGTGCTGCCAGTCGCTGTGCTCCTGCTTTGCCCGCTGCTGCTGCTTGCGGTGCGCCACTGCTGGCACTACTGGAGCCGCTGGCCGAGGCGGGCCACGTAGCGTTAGAATTAATACTTATCCCACATCGATATCTAGTGGAAGATCCTTGGAGACGGTGCCTTTTGACCGTCGTCAAATTCAAAGAAAAGCCAGGCTTCAAGCGGCCAAGTGATAAACACGCAGCTCTCCGTGTAGAATACTAAGATACATGTTTCTAACCCAAGATGCATAGTCCTTGATCAGGGATAAAGCAGGCAGGAGGCCAAGCCAGACGTTACCAACCGACAATACTTCTGCTTGTATGCGCCAAAGAACACACCAAGTGACCGGCAGCAGACGCAAAGAGTTGCAAGGGGGCGAACCGTGCAACCAGTGCCGAGAGAGCGAGGCTCCATGCACAGAGGGCACACACAAGGCGACCCAAAGGCGTGTGCCATGTGCCGAGGGAACACTGTTCCAGCACCGAGGGCGACCACGCCACCAATCACGTACAGCAAATAAACACACACACACACACACACTCACACACACACACACACTACCGCGGCAATGAACAGCAGGCGCAGCCCTGGAACAAAGCCGATAACAAAGGCAGCAATCCAGGGAGCTGTTGATGCATATGATGAGCGTGGAATACCTCACATATACACTGGATGTCCTCAGGCCATGATGGTGGAGACGTCGGCATCGTCGGATCAGTTGCAGCACCAGTTAAGGCAGAATATGAGAGGGCACTGTCGACCTAGCACAAGGGAGGGGAGAAAGGCAAGAGCCCTAAGTGCCACCGCACGGGGTCCACACCTTTCCACAAGCAACCCCCGCCCCAAAGAGAGTGCCATGCCCGGGGGAACCCCCCACAGTGATGTGGGGAACAACAACGGTACGAATAACAATAACTCTTAAACCCAACAGTCATAATAACAGTGAAAATAACAACCTTTTTTTCTCAGCCCTACCCTGCTGTGACTGTTGCGAGTCGCTCAAAAGCAAGGTGATGGCGCAGCACGGGCAACAGAAACAACAAAACCCTTGGTGTTAAAATTGCCTGCGCAAAGCTGCATCATATACTCTCTGGTCTTGCTCAGCAGCTTCTCTTGGGCAAACGGAGCTTGTTCTCATAAACATACTTCTTGCTGAACATGACCCAGTTCTGTCTTGGCCGGCCTGCCCTCTTCTTTCCACAGTCTATGCGGCGATGCGGCTAGCTGAACTTGATGTAAATTAAACTTGCCTCAACGGATCTACATCGGAACTTCGTAATATATGGTCGCCCGGCGCTCTTCGTGATATCTACTGAACGGTAAAACTTTCCTGGTATCACCAGGCTACTGCAAGAAGTCTTTGATTAGTATTTGTGCGGTTGATATACGTCGACGGGTATTGCATTGAAACGCATCCAGCTTCTTCGCTAAAACAAGTGTAAGATGAATTGTCTCTAAACCACAAAGTAGCATACTACGGATGATCGCATCATACTCAATGATTTTCCATGTCTTTGCAGCTCTGGTTGCCTTCCAATACGCACTCAATGTAACACGCATACGCCAACTGAGTCGAAAGATCACTGTCTTGCTCCTCGAACTTGCCAGCGCGAATTGGCGACAATGGCCCTTTCTATAAATGCTCTGGTAAGGATCTCCTCTGCAATGCACAAGGTCAAGATTCTTCCTGAGATCCCGGCCTTACAGCTGCCGGAGGCTGCTGTGACGTTCGTCATGTAGGTAGATGCCGCGGACCTGAGGCGGCACGGCGCCGATGGTCTAAGGAGCACCCTCTCAGACTTCTCGCCCTCCATTCTGGCTTGTTCACCTTCTTCACAGCGGGCAGCAAAAGCCATATTCCGTGTTCGTTGGGTGCCGTACCGCTTGTCGCCTAGCTTCTGCCACTTGTCGGTCATCCTGTCAAGTCCGGCGGCCCGAACGGCTCAAATGGTCAAATGGCTTGAGCCAAAATGGCTACGGACCCTACACCTCAATCCCTAAACGCCTCACACCTCAAGAAACCCCAAAGAACACTTCATGTAACCCTAAACCCTAAACCCCCACACCACTGGAAACTTTCAAACCCTAAAACCCTAAACAACTGTCAACACTTGGGCCAGGCATCCACTGACAACCGGATTGGAGGAGAAGAGGGAGGATCTTCCAGCGTGGCGATGTCATCCTCAGGTCTAATGATCGGGTTGGGGGTTTAGGTTGGGTATTGCCCCCATACAGTAACAGTCCAAAAGACGGCTACTATTAAGGGCCTAATATATCTATATCATGAATATTATCCAACTGTTACTGAGAGGGGGCAGTACCCAAGGTTTAGGGTATGGGAAGTAGGGCTTGGGGTTTAGGGAGCCAGCGCATTCAGATACTACCGACGAGCATCAGTTGAGAGTTTAGGGTTTATCCGCTCATCAGTCATGAACCATCGACCTTGTCATTCGTCACTTTCAAGCATGTGAGCTGTCACCCTACCTCTGCCGAGGGCGCGGCGTCAATTCTGTTCACTGTAGGGTTCAAAGCTTTTTCGTGCATAGGAGACACGAGTAAGCACGTCGCCACGGTGACACCCATGCCAGAGTTCTATCACAATGATTTCATAGACTGGGCGTTTTCACTTAGCCACCTCAGCTCAAAATACTTGAAGGCCTAAATCAGGGTAGCCAAAAACGGCAGCAACCTAGCCTCCCTCTTCCCCCCGCGTAGTCTCTGTGGAAGCATGCAACACTGTGTGCTGCTGGCTTAGTTCCGCCACGCTGCCAGGTATGGGAGATGAAAAAGTCGAACTTCTCGACGGGACTCGACATCTCGAAAAGCTCCTGCCGAAGCGCAGTTTAGGGTTGCGGGTTCAGCTGTCTTAGGGATTGGGTTTCAGGGTTTGGGGTTGAGCTGTCTTAAGGATTGAGGATAAGGATCTTGGGTTTAGGGTTTCAACTTCAGGTCTATGGATAAGGCTTCGGGTACAAGGATCGAACCCCGAAGCTGGAATAGAAAGGCTTCACTGGGTTGTAGTTTTGGGGCTCTGAAAAGTATTTATGAATAGGTACCTGTATAGGAACCATAAGGGAAAATTAAAAAGTTTCCCAAATTGCCACCCAGTTCAGTAATTCGAACCGGGATTCTTGTTGGCGGTTTCTCCGGATCCTTCGGATCCAGTGCACGGGGCTTCAAGAAGTTGCATAGGTTTTGGGGTGGACCATAGTATTAGGGTTCGGGGTTTAAGGTTTAGGGTTTAGGGCTTAGGGGTTTAGGGTTTAGGGATTACAAGGACTATGACTATGAGGGGATAGTATGAATATATTATTGCTCGGACCTCCATATTGCGGTAGGGTAAAGGTTTGCAAGGGTTGATTCTATAAAGGTTCTAAATGGGCTTGAAGTTCAGAGTTAAGGGCTTGGGTTCCGCATGGCTAGCAATGAACCCTATCAAGCCCCTATAAAGACCCGTATGAAAACACGGAATTAACCACCACACCCTCAGAAGGCCATACAAAATACTTATCATGCCCTCATCAACCCCGTACGGGACCCTGCGAGACCCTCACACAAGCCATTGTGAAGAACCTGGGCTCTTGTTAGGGAAAGGAACTTATTTTAAGTAACCTAAAAGGGATCCAGGGTAACAAATATGGCTCCGTATCATGGTAGCCCAAAATAGTTAAAACCCCTCCAAAAAAGAACCCAGGAACAACCCACCTGGCGTCCCGGATTGAGCCAGTGTCGACCTCCGCGCCGCAGAGTTTTCCGCAAGGACACGCCCCGAAACAGCAGACCTGGGCTACTAAAGGGGGCCTTACTATAGGGACCTTCATAATTAGAATAGGGTTTCAGGGTTCCTTTGAAGGGGTCTATACAAGGGTTACTGTAAGGGAGCTATAAGGGTAGTATACCAAAGGGGCCTTCATAATTAGAACAGGGTTTGGGGGCATATTACACTATAACTATAATAAGGAACCCCCAAAATAGCAGCAAAGGTAACTATTTAGGCCCCTATATTTAATAAGTTTGAGTCGGGCCTCAACGCTTTGAATAGGTTATCATAGGATTTCGTGGGGGTTTGTATGGCTTGATGACAAGGAGCTTGGGAATTGCTTCTGCAATGTAATAAGAACAATGATCATATCAATAATAACAACAAGTATATCAACAACAATAACCACAACAAGAAGAACAAGAAGGTTAAGGGTGCTCTTGAGGACTTGTTTGTTCTGTTTCGTTGTTGGGTCATGGTTTGATTGAAAGGAATCTCCCAAAAGTGTGTTGCTTGCTTACCTGCCAAAGGGAGTAGATGCGTGGACGCCTTCGTGCAATCCCAAGATTGACCGACTGTGGACAGTATCTGACAGAGGCGCCCCATGCTCGCAGCAAATGTTTCCACAAAGCCCTAAACCTAAACCCCTGCTGCTCCGCTTGTCGGCGACTAAATTGAGCTCATGCCCAAGTTTCGATTTCCGTTGTCCGCTGAACCCTGAACCCATTCAAACCTGCCCAGTCGCTGGGGACGTCCAGGTTACCACTGGTCACCAGCCTCAGCACGCTGAAATGGCAAAGGTTTAGCTTCGGGGTGCCGAGGTTTTGAGTTTGGCGCTCAGGGTTTTTATCGGGATTTACGCTGAACCCAAACCTCCTATGATTTTAGGTTTAGGACAGGGCGTCGGGCCGAGAATGTGCGCTGTCCCTCAGGGGCGCTCCCCGACCATAGCCTGCTCAGGTAACCGACCCCCACGAACGACCAACCAAAAGCCTCGATTGTGAACCTCAAAGCCACAGAATCACACACACACACACACTCTCTAAAGCCTCACACCCAAATTCTCCCAAAAGGAAAACCCCAGCACCTTACACTGTG